GCTCACCCTTGGCGGTGCTGGTGCTGCTGGCACTGCCCGAGGCCAGCCCAGGTGCCCCGCGGCAGGCACGCTCCAAGCTGTTGTGCTGCTTGGCTAGCTGCTCGATGGTCTCCTCCAGCCGGATCCGCTGCTCCCGCTCATGCTGCAGCAGCCGCTGCCATTTCCGGCTGTGGCTCTCGGCTAAGTCCAGGAAATCGCGGCAGGCCTGYGGCACCAGGGGACAGCTCAGTGGCACAGGAGGTGGCACAGCACGTGGTGACCCTGGTGCTGGGGCCCCCACGCCCCCTCCTGCCCCTCTCCYGGAGCTTTGCTCCACCCCCACATCCACAGCCCAGCTCCATCCAAAGCTGCATCGCCCCCAGGGACATGGCTGCAGCACGGACAACTGCCCCAAGTCTGGGATGTGCCCTGTCCATCCCACCCACAGCCTGGCCCTGCCCCTGTCCCCAGCCCTGACCCTGCTGTGGTCCTCAGGAGCCCAAGGTGGGCTCTCACACCCCTCAGGGCTGGAGCAGCACTTTCATCCCAAATCCAGCAAATAAGAAGGGAATAAAGGTCCCTGCGGTGACAGACACAGAATCATGGAATAGTTTGGGCTGGAAGGGACATAAAGRATCATCCAGWTCCACAGGCAGGGACACCTTCCACCATCCCAGGCTGCTCCAAGCCCCAATGTCCAGCATGGCCTTAGACACTTCCAGGGATCCAGAAGCAGCCACAGCCTCTCTGAGCTGCYTAAGCCAGGGGCCAGCGATCCCTGTGCTCCAGGGAGGCACACAGGGACAATGTCCAGCTCCTCCCTGGAGCTGCACTGCCCAAGACACACCACAGGGCCTGGCYTGGCCCCTGCAATGCACCCACCATGGCCAGAACCCCCCATTCACTGCCCTACAAGCCCTGGGCATCCCCAGTCATGGGACCTCACAGACACTCAGGGAACGCCCCAAGTGACATTACAGCATCATCACCCTGTGTCACCAGGCAGGGACAGCTGGGACACCGCAGCCCAGGCTGGCAGGAGAACCCCTGGGCACTGACCCCCCTCCCAAAGCTGCCAAGCCCCCCAGGAGCAGCATCACCCAGCCCCGGCCATGCCGGACTTGCGGCGGGAGATTTCCGGGAGCAGGATGTCCGTCCAGGGCCGGGACATGGGGACACTGGCGGCTGTCCCACACTGCCTCATCCACACAACGTCCCACAGCATGGACCAGCCCTCACAGCTCTATTTTTAGGTTATTTTCCATCTTGGATGAAGCCCCGAGTTCCCGTGGCCTCACCGCTTCCTTTGCCATCAGCKCCACGTGCAGCCGAGCACGGAGGCAGGGCTGCTCTTCCATCCCCAAATCTCTGCAAGATGGGACACACTGAACTCCTTCTGATGTTTCAAAGGAGGAAAATCAGATTTTCATGGAATTTCTCCAGGAGCTGGCAACTTAAAGGGGAATTAACTGTGCTTGTGCAACTCATTGTCATTCCAAGGCAGGTCCAACGGATAAATGCTGGCTGAAAAATTCAAACCTACTCAAAACTAAAAAAAAAACAGTTTTGGAAGTCTGACAGAATTCCAACCAACCCCAGTACTTKCTTATTTTCTGTTTCCAGCTATTTGGGCGATTTATCCAGCTCGTGGCAGGTTACTCAGCGTTTGGGCTGCAGGTGGCACCTGAGAATCGAGGGAGCTCCTGCTCAAGGAGCAGCTTCAGGGTTTCAGCTTCCTTGACTTTTACAAGGATTTTTCCAAGGAAAGCTCCAATTCATCAAACCTTTCCTTTGGATCAGAGCAGGATTTCAGCCTCATCCAGGGGGAGCTTTAAGGTTTCCTTTTCCTTTAAGGCTACTCATACACCTGGAAGAGCTCAGGGACCTGCACACCCAAATTGCTGGCTGTGCTCCCACCCTATATGTGTTCAAAACTGGGATCAGTTTTAGGACTCTCTGGATAAGAGAGCCCTGGAGGGGCTGAAGCGAGTCCAGGGCAGGGAAGGGAGCTGGGGAAGGGGCTGGAGCCCCAGGAGCGGCTGAGGGAGCTGGGAAAGGGGCTCAGCCTGGAGCAAAGGAGGCTCCGGGGGGACTTTGTGGCTCTGCACAACTCCCTGACAGGAGGGGACAGCCGGGGGGGTCGGGCTCTGCTCCAGGGAACAGGGACAGGAGGAGAGGGAACGGCCTCAGGCTGGGCCAGGGGAGGGTCAGGGGGGATATTGGGATAATTCCTTCATGGAAAGGCTTTAAGAGCCACGTGGATGTGGCACTCAGGACACAGGGCACTGGTAGCCTTGGCAGTGCTGGGGAATGGTCACACTCAATGCTCACAGAGGAGCAGAGCAGACCTCCTGCTCTCAGAGCTCTGTCTTCACTGCCTCTTCTGAAAAAAACAGCTCCTCCCCACCCCAAATCCTGCTGGGAACCACCCAGGGCCCAAAGCCCACGGGGACCTTGCCCTGGGTGACACCACCAGTGCCACCACCCCAGGCCGGCCACTGGCTCCGCGTGTCCCACGGACACTCTGAGCTAAGAGGATGAAAGCAGGACAAATAATGGGATATGGCTGTGAGCTCCCCATCCCAGCAAAGCTCATTATCTGCTCCCAAGGCCCAGCTCCACAGGCAGCAGGCCCAGGAATGCCCAGCTTGGCACCGAGGGTAGAAACTGCAGGCTGCTCCCAGCTCGGGGCTGAGCACTTGCAAASGAGATCACCTGTAATTATCCTGCTGCAATTAACCACGGGCTGGAAGGTGGGACAGGGAATTAGGGGGAAAGGAGGTAATTATGGAGCAGCCACCGAAGGCAGGGAGCTGGGAGGAGAAATGGCTCCAACAGCTGAGAGGAATCAAAATAAATCCTAATAAAAACCAGCAGGGAACACCTCAGAATTTCCCATCCCAAAGCTTCACAGAGGAGTCCTCATGCATCTCAAAGGGAAATCTGTACCAACAGGCTTCATTTACAGCCAGATATAAACAACYCAAGTGATGCAGAATGGTGTCAGCATTACAGGGTGTGGGGAGGTTTTGGGAAGATGAGTGGGATGGTCTCCACGAGGCCACAGATCCCACCAGAGGTTGCAGTGCTTCCATGCAGCAGGGCAGGACCATGCATGCTCCAGGCTGCATCCCACAGTTGTGCCCATGGGATTTAGGAGCCGGCTGGGACAGCTCCTACCATTATTCCCTGTTTTTGAAAGGCTGTAGGGTCCCATCTGTGCAGTCCCTTTCTCTGTAATTCAGACAACAGTTTGATCTAAACCTGGATCAAAGGATCCAGATCAATCCAAATGAGGATCCGTGTTTGCTCCCTGGAAGAGAAACAATGCCAGGGGTGGAAAGGGGAGAGTATCCTGCAAGAGGGATCTCCCAGGCTCAGCTGCCAGTGGCAGCCAAGCAAATTATAGTGATTAATTTGGGTTTACACCCTCTACAGCCAGCCAGTGCCATTCCTGAGGGATGCTCACCAGAGGTGGGAGCAGCACCAAACAGGGATCAGGGGATATTTTTTCACTGAACTCAATCCTGAGCCAAAACTCAATCCAGTGTGGAACCAGGGCTGCAGGGCACTGGGGTGAGGAGYTCAGACATGAATATCCCAGCTCAGCACTCATTGCCAGCAGTAATCCCCTGCCTTGGTGCTCCCAAGGTACAGACAATGCCAGCCACCGAGCAGGAGCAACACCTCGAAATCCAGCTTATAAATTTCTTACGGAGAGGAGGCTAAATTTAGTTTCAGCTGAACTTGCTCRGGGGTGTCAGCAAGACTCGGCCACAAATCCATGCCAGGCTGGCACAGGGATATGGGACAGCGGGAAGAGGCTCCCTGAGGAACACACCCAAAGGACAGCACAGAGCCAAGGTTGGAGGATTAAAGTGCAGGAAAAGTAATTCCTCAGTGAGCTTAGGGCCAAGGTTGGAGGCCATGAAGGCACAGCCTCGGGAAACACCACCCTCCTCTCTCAGAGCTCTCCCAGCTCTCCCAACCTCTGGAGAATGGAGCAGAGGAACGGGCAGAGGCTGCTGTGCCCATCCCCACATGCTCCTCACCCCACCAGGAGCCTGGGTTCATTCTTCACAGGATCCCACTCTCCCAGGGGACAGCAGGTGCAGGAGGTGACACCACACAACCTGGATTTTGCCTCAGGGCCCGAGCTAGATCAAATCCCAAAGTCCCCAGGGCTGCTCTGGCTCAGTATCACCAGAGCACAGACAAGGCTGGAGAGCAGCAGCCAGGCTGACAGGACACCAGTGACCAGAGACAAAAGCAAGCTCCATCCACGTACAGCCCCAGATCCCAGGGCATCCCAGTGTGACCTGCAGAGAGCAGGTAGGAGGGACAGAGGTGATTTCTCCTCCTCTCCACGGCTGGAAAAAGTTGCTGCGGCAGGTCCTGATCCAGCACTGATGATGGAATTGTAAATCCCAGCCAAGGCAGGGAGGCACAACCAAGGGGGCCAAAAAAACCAAAAAGGAAAAATACCACTGAGGCTCCCGCAAATTCCCATGGAGGAAGAGGCAAAGTGCCACAGAGACCCTGCTGGGRAGCAGGAGGTGACAGTCGGTGCCATCAGCTCTGCACTCCCTCCCTGTGCCCAGCAGCAGCCAAGGACACATTTAGCACCTTTCACACATTTGTCACGGCAAATATCCCGATTTCACAGCTTGTTGCTGGCTAATGGGAAGGTCCTTAACAGCCCCGGGATTATTCAGGCAGCRGAAACGATCACCCGAGGTCACCCGTGCCCTGCCAAGGTGGTGGTGTCACAGCCCCACAGGGATCTCAGCTTCCTCTGCAGCAAACAGTCAGAATGGGGTGGAAGGAACAAAGAGATGAGGTTAATTAGCTTGAAAGGGTAAATGATCACAGCAAGGCCTGCCAGACTCCATAGAATCATGGAATGGCTTGGCTGCAAGGGATCTTAAAGCTCATTTTGTGTTATCCCCCTTCCACCATCCCAGGGTGCTCCAAGCCCTGTCCAGCCTGGCCTTGGACACTGCCAGATCCAGGGGCAGCCACAGCTTCTCTGGGCACCCTGAGCATCCCCACCCTCACAGGGAGGAATTTCTGCCTGAGGTACCATAGTGACAGCCTCAGAGGCAGCCCTAGCCCAGCTGAGCATTCCCCATCTCCAGCCCAACACCGATGGATGCCGAGGGAACACGCTCCCACCTGCAATCCCACCTGCCCCAGCATCCCAGAGAACCAGCCCCACAAATCCAA